CCAGTCATATTATAACTGGACTGCTACTAAACATTCACTTAAAAATCTTTCTTACGAAATTTTGTTTACTGAAAGTGGGAGATAAGCAAGTGTCCCCAACGAGCCCCAAATCAGTCCCAATGTCCCATCGAGTCAGGTCCAGTCCAAGGGTTCAATCAGACAGAGAAGACCGATTGGACAAGTCCGATCATACCGGACTTGTCCAATCGGACCACATGTCCCTAGCAGTCCCCTTAAGCTTACTATTCATCCCCAATGTTTTTTTTTTCCCGGGTCACTGAGCGCAGTATCTTGTTCGTCATCAATAACCTCTCTCTTTCTCTCTTTCTGTGTGTCTCTCTCTCTCCTTCTCTCTCTCTCTCATCCCAAATCCATATCCTGATCCCTTCCAAGTGCTATATTTAGTCGTTATGGCTTGACGCTTTTTCCTGATAGCTCTCTCTCTCTCTGTCTCTCTGCAGACGAGGAGTCACAATAACTTGGCTGAAATATGTTGGCCAAACCACACACTAGAAAGTGAAGGGACGACGACGTTTCGGTCCGTCCTGGGCTATTCTCAAGTCGATTGTGATCTCTCTCTCTCTCTCTCTCTCTCTCTCTCTCTCTCTCTCTCTCTCTCTCTCTCTCTCTCTCTCTCTCTCTCTCTCTCTCTCTCTCTCTCTCTCTCTCTGTCCCCGGTGTCAACCTCTTCACTCCAACCAAAACAAGGCATAATTTCCTTTAGGAGATCAGCTTCCACCATAAAAAAGCTCCCTGTTACCTCCAGCGAACGAGGCAGAAGGCAAAAGTTTCAAATGGTTGTGTACTACAAAGGCAGCCGGAGGGTCAACTTTCCTTAAAACCCCCTTCAAGAAAACTTTAACCTTTGTGATTTACGTGCGAGGAACTTGGGGAGAGTAAAAGGTCTGTGAAGTTGACGTTTGTCACGGCTCCAACAGGCAGGATGTGCTACCCATCAACTCCAAGCTGGGGAAAGTTTAGATTTGGAGTTGTCTGGAAGAGGTGCTTCGTAATGCAGCGTCTAACTGGACATTATTGCTCACGACTTTGGCGGTGGACAGTGTTACCATTGTCACCAGTCACTAGTATAGACAGTCACTAGTATAGACAGTCACTAGTAAAGACAGTCACTAGTATAGACAGTCACTAGTATAGACAGTCACTAGTAAAGACAGTCACTAGTAAAGACAGTCACTAGTATAGACAGTCACTAGTAAAGACAGTCACTAGTAAAGACAGTCACGAGTAGAGACAGTCACTAGTAAAGACAGTCACTAGTAAAGACAGTCACTAGTAAAGACAGTCACTAGTAGAGACAGTCACTAGTAGAGACAGTCACTAGTAAAGCCAGTCACTAGTAAAGACAGTCACTAGTAAAAGAAGTCATTAGTAAAGACAGTCACTAGTAAAGACAGTCACTAGTAAAGACAGTCACTAGTAAAGACAGTCACTAGTAAAGACAGTCACTAGTAAAGACAGTCACTAGTATAGACAGTCACTAGTATAGACAGTCACTAGTATAGACAGTCACTAGTAAAGACAGCCACTAGTATAGACAGTCACTAATATAGACAGTTACTAGTATAGACAGTCACTAGTATAGACAGTCACTAATATAGACAGTCACTAGTATAGACAGTCACTAGTAAAGCAACAGACACAGCCAAACCGTTCCTTCCCTCCCAGGCATGACAGGAGCCAGAACAGCTGACAGGAGTGTCCAAAACCAACGATTCATTGAGCATTCCTTACGAAACCCTTACATCATTCCTCAATCACTGATCCTCTTATTTACATTGATTAAAAAAACAGGTTATGAGCTTCGAGGCGCTACGGAGGTTGCATATATAATAACAACAACCACCACCTCGGGTTGTGAAGATTACAAGCTCGTTAACTATTCAATAAAGGTTGGGAGAGCCAATTTGCATCCCATTATAATTTCAGTTGCATGTTAAATCTTCAGGTAAGATGCACCTGAAGGGATAAATTTTGTTTTGAAAATATTTTATGATGCTAAACAGATACACATGACCTCCTAAGGAGCTGGAGAAGGATTCCTCAGTTAGTATCACGTCTCTTAGACGGGTTCTGGAGGTATTTGTATAGTTTACGGTCCGTTTAGACGGGTCTTTGAGGGATTTGTACAGAAATCCGTTCGTCCAGACGGATTCTTGAAGGATTTGTACAGAAATCCGTTCGTCCAGACGGATTCTTGAGGGATTTGTACAGAAATCCGTTCGTCCAGACGGATTCTTGAAGGATTTGTACAGAAATCCGTTCGTCCAGACGGATTCTTGAAGGATTTGTACAGAAATCCGTTCGTCCAGACGGATTCTTGAGGGATTTGTACACATTACTGCCAATCCACTCATAACGTACGTAAGACATTAATTGTATGTCCTCATAATGTCGTTATAATATACTCATAATATTCTTATTATGTACTTATAATGAAATGTATAATGTTCTCATAATGTACTCATTATTTACTCATAATGTTCTCATATAATTCTCATAATGTACTCATTATTTACTCATAATGTTCACATATTATCCTCATAATGTACTTAAATGTCCTTTTCATAATATACACATAATGTACTCACAATGTCCACTCATAATATTCGCATAATATCCTCTCATAATGTCCTCTTATAATATACTCATAAGATACTCGTAAAGTACTCATAATGTCCTCTCATAATGTACTCATATTGCATTCATAAAGTACTCATAATATACTCATAATGAGATACATCATCAAAACACAGCTACAGTAGGCTAACATTTAATGTTGAACAAAAGTTAGTTCATTTGCACTTAAAGAGTCATTGAGAAAGGTTCCTATTCAGCTCCTCCCTGCAACTTGAATCATTAAAAGTTTGCATCTCAAGTTAGAGCAAGAGTAACTAGGCATTGAAGACTCGGGGAGGATTAGTTTCTAAGTTAGTTACGCTGCAGTGGATGCCTTTGTGCATGTCAATCCGTTTTCTTAGCTAATACGTCATATTCCGAATGGAATGTGACCAATCCATTAAAATTGTGGGGGAGGGGGAAGGGGGGAGAGAGAGAGAGAGAGAGAGAGAGAGAGAGAGAGAGAGAGAGAGAGAGAGAGAGAGAGAGAGAGAGAGAGAGAGAGAGAGAGAGTGTTAGCCTAGCCTAACCTAGCCTAACTGATGCATAGAAAACGTTGATATTTCTGAGCCGCTGCTTTTCGTAACACTTTGTAATATATACGTTGGGGGACGATTGAGAATTAGACGTATTAGTTAAGAGGACGAGGTTTTTAAGCTCGCTCAGGGATCTGTTCATCCGTTGATTGAGAGGCTGGACCAAAGAGTTTTACGTCAAAATAAGATTATTGACCTTGTTCCTGCCTCAGGTCAGGTCAACATGGCCCGAAAAGGGCAGTAAGTCTGGGCTTCGTATCCTCAAAGATCCAAACGAATAAAAATATATCCATGCTTGAGTAATCTGCAATATATATGTGATGGTATCCCGCCAAACACACACACCGAAACTACAACATTGGTACAACGTTCGAACAAGTTTTAACACCTCCTAACCAGTTATAACAACCAATATAGCAAGTTGTACCAACGTTCTAATACGTTATAAACACGTTAAGCCAAGATGTAACAACTTTATTACAAGTTGCAACAAGCGGAAAACAGAGACAGTTTCGGTTTGTGTTTTCAAGGATAAACATTGGGTTGAATACTGCTAACTACCATACTAACTTTTCGTAGTTAAAGTTAGCATGGTAGTTAGTTTCGTAATCTGCTAACGTTTCATCTACCCAGGATCTGGGTAGACGAGAATGTTTCGTTATTTATGGAGTGTTGATCGAGTTCAGAAAGGACAGATCGTGTTTCGGTTCGCCACCGTCATCTACGATGAATGATGCGATTGAAGGGAGTATTCAGTATCATTCCTTCATCTCGTCTTCACAGATGCTGGAGGCTGTGAGTGATGGCGTCAATTGTCTCTGCCACGCGCCACTCTCCCTGTCACACATCAATCCTGCGATTACACGTCAATCAATCCCCCTCCCCCCCCCTGTCACAAATTAGTCTCCCGTCTGTCATCTTGACGCAGCTTCCAATTAACCCTCAGTTTCATCTCTGATGTTCATCTTATCTCGTGTCTCCGTTTGTGAGGATGTGGAGATCACTGGCTCTCCTCCCAGCACCTCGATAGCGGAGGTGCAATAGTTAAAACCTCCACTAGGAGGCTTCTTCACAAGCAATACGTTTAACACCTCCACTAGAAGGCTTCCTCACAAGCAATACGTTTAACACCTCCACTAGAAGGCTTCCTCGCAAGCAATACGTTTAACACCTCCACTAGAAGGCTTCCTCGCAAGCAATATGCTTAACACCTCCACTAGAAGGCTTCCTCACAAGCAATACGTTTAACACCTCCACTAGAAGGCTTCCTCACAAGCAATACGTTTAACACCTCCACTTGAAGGCTTCCTCGCAAGCAATACGTTTAACACCTCCACATGAAGGCTTCCTCGCAAGCAATACGTTTAACACCACTAGAAGGCTTCCTCCCAAGCAATATGCTTAACACCTCCACTAGAAGGCTTCCTCACAATTAATACGTTTAACACCTCCACTAGAAGGCTTCCTCGCAAGCAATATGCTTAACACCTCCACTTGAAGGCTTCCTCGCAAGCAATACGTTTAACACCTCCACATGAAGGCTTCCTCGCAAGCAATACGTTTAACACCACTAGAAGGCTTCCTCGCAAGCAATATGCTTAACACCTCCACTAGAAGGTTTCCTCACAAACAAAACGTTTAACACCTCTCTAGAAGGTTTCCTCACAATTAATACGTTTATCACCTCCACTAGAAGGCTTCCTCACAAGCAATACGCTTAACACCTCCACTTGAAGGCTTCCTCACAAGCAATACGCTTAACACCTCCACTTGAAGGCTTCCTCCCAAGCAATTCGTTTCGCATGGTATCAGCTGTCGTGGCTTCACCAATACTCCGCCTGATGCCTGACCTGTTTCCCAATATTCCATAACCAGACTCAATTTCTTTTCCGATACCGCTTCCTGTTGCTTTTCAGCGTTGCATTGCTTTGCTCTTAAGATTTCCATAATGCACAT